TGCATGGAAGACAAATATTTCAATATTAACATAGAAATAATCATATTTATTATTTAATATTAGATTCCTTTTTAAAAAATGGTTCCTTTCATCGACCCGAGCATGGACCGGAGCACCTATTACCATATTATATTATTGTGGATATTTTGCCCAATCATATTTTTATGCATAGAGGACGAAATATTAACAGAAAAATAATCATATATTTACTGTTAATTTGCTTGGTCGAAACAGCTTATTTAAAATAAAATAAAATATTTTCAGACTCAGAGGTAAAGGAAGTTGTTAGTGTAGTGCCTACAAATCGGTATAACTGAGATAGCGTTTTAATAACTTGCAATAGGCTCAGGCCAAAAAAAATTGAATTTGCAGAGCTCCCTTGGGTAGAGTAAATATTTTTTTGTATTCACAGTTAGTATAAGTTGATGGCTGGGTCGATAATCTGGTCAGTACTCTCAAAAAATTTATAATTAAAGATTATGACCAGGGTTGCCATGTCTCCCCCCATCAGCGGGAGACTCCCACAATTTTTTAGTTTACACGCAGACATCTCTCTCCCGCAAAACTACCGCTATTGGAAATCTCCCGTAAAAATCTAAGATAATTTTTTAATTTCTCCCGCAATTTTTTTAAAAGTATTTTAACGTTTTTAATATATAAATCAGAGACCTGCAGAGGTACCATTTGCACGGCCCAGCCCGGATTTAAAAATTTAAGGCCCGGCCCGGATATTTTTTAAAAAAAAATTTCAGGCCCGGCTCGGAATTTTTTAAAATTATATTCGACCTGGTATATACAAAAATTCACCTATGAGGTATTTTATCATATTTTTCAGCGAGTATTATCGCTTATTATTTAAAAAATACATGTAAAAAGCTAATATTTTGAGAATATTATATTAAATTTATAAAAATTATAAAACTGTTATTTATAAAAATGGATATTTTGAGCATATACTATATTTTATATTGCATTTATAAAAATAAAACTAATATTCATAAAAATGGTAATAATATTTTGAGCATATACTATATTTTATATTGCATTTAAAAAAAATAAAACTAATATTTAATTTATAAAAATGGAAAATATTTGAGAATATAATATATTGTATTTAATTTGCTATTTAATTTATAAAATAAAAATAAATCGCTATTTAAAAAAATGCATGTATAATAAATAGTACTTTGAAAATATAATCTAATTGCACAATATTAATATAATTTATTTTATAATATAAATTTTTAACAAAAGAAGATAATTGTATTATATAATATTGTAAAAAAAAATAATGAAAAATGTTGGATTAAAAACTTTCATGACTCTAGGTAAATATAAAAAATGCAATAAATATTTGACAGTTTGCAAAGTAAAAAACCAGCATGATTGACGAAACCCTATACTCAAGAAAGATATTAAAAATTCACAAATTATCATGAAGAAAGAGAAGCATATCTACCTTTTCAGGTTGAAGATTACTTCTTCTTTCTTCAAGAATTCTCCTAGTAGTGGAAAAATTCCGCTCACAGCTTGCACTTGAAGCAGGAATTGCCAATACCCGTTTTGCCAATTTTGCTAAAATTGGAAATTCGCTTTGATGAGCCGCCCACCACTCTAACAAATTATCCACCTTAAATGTTTCATCTATTTTTTTATTTATGTAATTATAATATTCATCATCGGGTATTGACATATTACCAAAATTACTATCGCCCCATTTGTCATAAAACGATTCAGTTTGTTTAACAACAGTCGTAATTTGACTGGTCGATGGTATTTCATTTACTTCCTGAGCCTCTTGTAATTTAATATAATCTTTTATATAGTTTTCCGTCATCTTGCGATCTGTCCCTGACTATATATGTAATTGCTTATATTTGGGACAGAGAAAAGGAGAAATAAAATGATACTTGTGTAAAACAAATTTTTCAATTAAAAAATGCTTTATATTAAGTAAAATCAATTTATTTCTCCTTTTTCGCTTTGAAAGGTATTACAAACTTCAAGAAGTGATATTCCTTTATTTGATTGTTTTGGTAAAATATATTCTAAAAATTTAGATATGAATTATAAAAAAATATATTAATAATACTTGAATATTGGGGCTTATTTAAGATATTCTTTTATTTGATGGTTTTGGTAAAATATGTTGTAAAAATTTAGATATGAATTATAAAAAAATATATTAATACTTTGAATAAATTTGTAGGAAATTAATAATTAGATCGATCTGTGGGTGTTAGGTAGTGTTAACCATCACCCAATATTATAATAATCATAACTTTAATATAATATAATCTTATAACCATTAACTCATAATGTAAAAATTTTTATAAAAAATATTAAGGCCCGGCCCGGCTGGGTTTAACAATCTTAGACCTGGCCCGGCCCGGATATATTTAAAAAAAAATTTTTTAGGCCCGGGTATATTTAAAAAATTTAAAATACGGTCGGTCTTAGGGCCGGGCTTAGGGCCGGGCCTGCAGGTCTCTGATATAAATAATAATTTTGAGAGACATCAATTGATTATTTTTTATTTTTAAAATAAATTTTAAATATTTATTCGAAAAACATGTCTAGTGTGTATATTTCTTTCTATACTGTTTTATTTTTATCCAAGAATAAATCTTTAAAAAGTATATCTACATCGATTGCAATACAAAAATATTCTCAAAAATAGTAAATAATACAGATGCAACTACATTTGCGGAAATCGTATACATCTACCATGTAGTTCAACATTCACAGAGCTATATCATCACAATGTGGGTCGAAATTTTTTCTCATGATATTTAACCACTCCAATATTAGTGCAAACCTTACTTGTGGCAGAATAAAAATGAGCAAGGCTATCACAAGTGTTACCAGAATCCTAGAGATCAATTCTAGACGATTTGAAAAATGGGCATCCATTTGCAATTCTAACAGCTGCATCTAATAAGGGAAATATTAAAACATTACGCTATTTCAACAAGAATAAGAACATTTCAAAAAACTGTTTAAATTTTTTCTTCGGATAATGAAAATCCCAACAATGTAGCTAGCCACATAATGGTAAATATAGCTGATTCAGGGTTATCAATGATTTGAATGTCAGCTTTCTGCGCTGATAATGCCTCTGTAAATTTTGGCAAAAACCAAAGTTGCCGAATTGAGGCAGCACAATAATGAATTAATACCAATTGGCTGTATATGCCATATACTACATAATTCTTACAGGAAGGCAATGAATGTACTGTGGATGTCGAAATAATTGTGATGGAATGTTTTAACGAATTTAGTTCATCAACTAAAAGAGTTAATGAATTAAAAGAGTTGGTGAAGTGGTCTGACTTGGAATGGTGTGAGTTGTTGCGATATATACCTATTAGGTGGTTGTCATTAAACCTGCCAACGATAGAATTTTAAAATTTTACAAACCCTTAAAAAAATACTCCTTAAATAGAGATTTTAAAAGCTGTCCTAAAATTTTGAAAAATCAGAAACATATTTGGGATTCGTTTCACATGTAGGAAATCTACTTCCTGCAGTAAATATTCAGTTGCAATCAGAAAAAAATTTAAATTCTAATCCGGTTGATATAGCCGAGAAAAAAAAACAATGAAATATTCCAAATTCACAAATTATATTTTTACACCGATTGTCATCTCTTCCCTTGGACATATGCCAAGTGGAACTTTAAAGTTTTTAAAAAATTTAGGGGATAAGATAAGAGCCCTTACATCAGAACCTAAAGAATCTTATTTCTTAAAACAAAACCTCCAAATCATAATTTTAAAATATAACTACACATGTTTTTTGGGAACTTGTAGTCCCACCTCGGTTTTTATATAATATTTTATTTATTTTATTTATTTTATATTATTTTAATTTAGTATTTTAACGCTATGTATTATTTTACACAAATTATATCATAAATAAAACGTTTATTTTCTTTCAACTGGTATGCTGGTAGGTAGTATAGTGTTACATGAATATCTAAATACTAGATTGGTCCTTAAATTTAATAAAATTACTATACTGATTTTTAACATAGTCAGTCAAAGTGGGTGTTAAAATTTAAAATTGTATCCATATCCTCTTGTGGATGTTGAAAAAAAATATATTAAATTTTTCAATTTTTTCTGCAATTAATGTCTTTTGGAAACCTTGAAAATTCATACTAATCGCTGTTTTTTTTCTTTAAATTTTCTGATGGCATTTGAAGTCAGTCTAATCAAGTTTAAGAATTTTCTGCTGTGTTAATTTTTTCTTACTCATATTAATATTAATCATCTAAATTAATACCATATTTGCAATACTTCGTATAATTTTATACAAGTGTATATATATAGAGAGATACAGATACAATAAATAACTATTATCTTATATTAGTTTTGCTTGCTTTTAAAGTTTAAATCATTTTAGTGAATATATAATGAATTGATTTCATAACATTTTTATTTTTAATGGTATAATTTTTGTGTCGCACTTATGATATAATAATAAAATAATAAAGCTTTAATACTATATTTTATTAAATAATATTTTATAGTGTCTTAGTGGGGTACATAAGGGATTAAGTATGATACTTAAACTTGCTGGTGTGAATGACGCCTAGATTCGAATGAACCATAACTGAAACGGATATAATAATGTTTTAAAGGAGTAAAAAGAACCTTTAGAAATTTTTTTTTAACCGGTTTCAATCAAAATTGTTGAAATTGAATTAATTCTACGTTTATTATAGTATAATTATATCATATTTTTCATTGATTATCATTTTATTTTTAATCATAATTTAAATTTTATTATGTGATAAATTACATTTTTATTTTCAAAGATAAATTACTTTTTATCTTTTCGTCAACAAAGACAATTTCTCTTTATATATTTTTTTAAACAATAATAAAACAAATAACTAATACAAATTGATGTATAAAAAAAATGTTAATATAAAATTTTCACCGATTAAATTTAAATACAAATTGATATATAAAAAAATAAATCTATTGCCAAAATAAATAATAAAATAACATCGATCAGTATATTCAACAAAAATATAATAAATAATTTTACATTTTTCCTTGTGGTATTATTACATATATTACAGTATAAATATGATTTGTTTTAAAACATTTCCATATAATTGTAACAACTTTCTAAAAAAATTATTTAATTTTAAATCTTATTTTTTTAAATGTTATCAATCTGTATTTTTACAAAAATTACAAGTCAAACATTTTTATAAGAAAGTTGTAACATATATGGAAATGTTTTACAACAAATCATACACACACTGTACCATATCTGCATCGTTATTAATAATTATTAAATGATCATATTTGTTTAATATTCATAAGAAGTATGTATTGATTTTTTTCATTATGACTTAAATTGATCCACAATCTTTTAACTGTTTCATATAGTATAAGAGCATTCCTATTTTCTCTATTTTAGTATGCAAAATATCTAAATAACCAATTTGTAGATTTTTGATTTAGTTGCATTTGATTAATTTAAATATAATATCATCACCTACCAATGAAAAATTTCAAAATGACCGAATTTATAAGGTTATAATTTTATATATAATTTATAGAATTTTGGCATTTAGAGCATTAATATTTATAGCCTTTATTATGAAAAATAGATTTGTGTTTTCTTGAAATGCAAGTATTGTTCAAATCTGTTTTTTTATTATCTTTTAGGTGAAGGATTGTAAATTTTTAAACCAATAATATCAATATGATGTGGCTTTACAAATTTATGACCAATTCTAATTAGTTTATTAATATTATAATTTTACAATGTTTGTTTGCTTTGACCTTATATTTTTTTTGTATTTATTTCATATAGTATTAAAACCATATTACTATTTCTATATTTTTGTATGAAAAATATCTAAATAACTATTTTTTGATTTAGTTAAATTAATTTAATCTAAAAAATTATCAGTTTTTATATATTGGGACAATTATATAAACTTGCTCTTATAGGAACTCGGTTCCCACAACACAAGTTTCTGTTGAAAGGGCCTTTTCGAAATTTGTGTTATACGAACACGTTCAAATATAATATTTAAAAATGAGTTATGATTCTTATATATTTTTTTATATAATATTCATAGATACTTATAATAAAAATAAATAAATTTATTTTATAAATAAACAAGTGATCACGAAATTTTTAATAAATTATATATATATAACTAAAATCATTATACGATGATGTTGCTTCAATAATAGTTTTAAAATATTCTAACCATAATAAACCTTTATAAATCTTTACAATTAGCTGAACCGAAACTTTAATTTTTTCTTAAGAACCGTAACCGAACCATAACCATTATAATTTTTTACATACTGAACTGTAATCAAACTGAACCGTTATAAATAAATATTCGGCTCACTGATTTTGCTTAGCTTTTTAACATATCGATGATGTGTTATGTTAACATAATCTTATTTAATAAAAAAAATGAATATTATTTGGGTCGAACTCAAACTATTTCAAAAAAAATATATGTAATTATTTTTATTAATAAGGAAAAAATAGGCCGGTGTACAATAAAGAACGAATGAATATGTATAAGAACTAGTTATTTAATAAATAACTCAAATTTTTGTTATCTATTATAAAAATGATCTTTGTATAGACACCGAATTGTAACTAATAATTATAAAAGTAACCTTAACCCCTCCTTCATAACGCGGATTAAAAATATATTTGAAGAATTGTGATACCTATAACATTAATGTTTACAAAAAACAAAATCTTTATCAGATATGTTTTACAGAAACATTTACCTATCTGATATTTTCGCCAAAGGGTAAATATCAGTGTCTGTGTTATACAGATTTTAATAATTTAAATATAGTAAATGGATGTCAGATATTGTAATTATCTAATGTATAAAAATTATATTTTTCATATGATAATGGTGATAAAAATAAAATGAAGAATTATGTCTCAACACAGCCAGATACCGATTGCGATTTAGTGAATAAATGTCGTCAGTTCGAAGCCGAAAATGAGAAAAATTTTCAACTACTTCGCACTTCTCTACGTTTACTTTCCGAATATCGAATGATCGTGGAACAATCGGAGGCTAATAAATCTCAAATTTCGTCACCCCAACCCCCGACTCTTATTCCTAAAGAAGATTATCTAGCAATTTCTAAAGAACGTGATCAGGTAAAATCTTAATTTTTTTATTAATAATTTAAATATTTTTTGATTCAAGGTCACAAAATTAAGAATTAAGAAGAAAATTAAATCAAGAGGTGAAGAGATCGTTATTTGAATTTTTCCTTGTACATTAAGATTATTTTTGAATAGTGAGCAGTGGTCTGCAAATGGCCGAATTCTCAGGCCCAACCCAGCCCAGTTGGAATTTAGTTTTTGTCCGGCCTGGCCTAATTTTAATTTTTTATTAAGGTTGCCTACCTGCCTGACTTCATATTTTTTATTAAATTTGCCCGGCCTGGCACTGTTTTTTATAATATAAGGCTTACTCAAATATTTTTAGTTGAACACCAAAATAAACAACTATTTATAATGTCGGAGGTAGTTAAATTTAAAAACTATACTTTATGGATTATCACTTTAATCAGAATTCATCAATAAGTCTAATACATTATAAAAGATGTCTTATTTCTGCTAATAATCATTTAACTTTGTTTTGAATTTAAAATAAAAAAAACGTAATAATAATTTAATTTGTCATTAAAATTATAAGCCAATAAAAAATAATTATTTAATCAAAATTAGATTTTGGAATATTTTTAAAAAATTATTTAATGTATATTAAGCAGGCCCGGAATCTACTTTTTGTCTGGCCTGGCCCATTTATATTTTTGCCCAGCCCTGCCTGTTTTTTATTTGGGCTATTGCAGACCTCTGGGGCAAAGGATTAAGGATATGATCAATTATCTCTTATATATTCATTTACTATATAATATGGGGAAAATAATACATGCTTCAATGTACTATAGTGCTTATAAAATCCATCTGAAATTAATTTTCGCATAACATATTCTCACCACCATTATTTGATATGTTAGCTTTTAAATATAAAAAAAACGCTTAGATCAAACATACATTAAATTAGCGATATTACATTATAATTAATAATTAAATACTTATTGGTAAGGTCAGACAAAATTTATAGCTAGATACTTATTTTCTTTAAGCGATGTGTCAAGCATAAAAATGACTTCTTTTATCATTGTTATTGGCTAGGCACTAAGAAAAGAAATAGGGTGCAAAAATATGCCTGATCATTTTTTTTATAAATAATGTTAAATTTATTATTTTGGTTTAAATTTTAGATTCAATATTTTATTTTATTCATATAAAGTTGCTTGAAGATGTTAAAGGAGTTGAAGTTGCATTTTCAGATTTGCATAGGAGATACGAAAAATTAAAAGTTAACCTAGAAAATTACAAATCGGTATATTTCATTATAATATTATTTATAATGTTAAATGATATATATGTGAATAAATTATTTATTTAAGTCTGTGATCTAAGATATTTAATTTATATCTAACCTTAGCTCTAGCCATATAACAAACTTGTTTCATATTAGTGCCACTGCTAATTGTCGCTAAAACGAAAAAGAAATTATAAATTTCTTGAAATAGGTCTTAGCATGGCTTGGTCCTGATTTTTTAAAAAAATTTCAAGCTCGGCCCAGATTTTTTTAAATATATTATCTTTAATTTTTATAGCTAATAATGGATATTTAAAATTTACGGCCGTGGACCCAGCCCGGGCCCTAAGATCTCTGATATATATATTAATTTTATTGTTCTTTGCTATATATTTTAATTAATTTTTGTAAAAATAATATATAATTGTCTCTACTTAAAGTTAAGGTCTCTAAGATTATATTATTTAAAATACAAGCGTTTATAAAAAGGTCCAAGTTTTTGTCCGTCATGGTTTTATTTAATCTATGAATATAAGGTAAGCCTCTAAATATGATAACCTCTTGACCCCTTTGAATCGGTCATTCCCTGTCATCATACAAAAGATCTTTATCAAAATTTATATATATTATCTACTTCTTTGACAAAAATTAAACTAACCTTGAGTGCTCGACTATTAGAGGCTTCACTTTTATACTTTATTTTTTAATATAACTATTAATAAAATAATAAAAGAATGAAGAAATCCTTTTAAGATCTATTAACGACAATGAACGTGAATTACAAGAAAGTACAAAGGTTCAAATCGAGTTTAAACATCAAACAGACGCAATTTTAAAACAGTAAGATACATTATATAATAACTAACGTAATTTTAATTATTTAGAAAAATAAAATTATTATATATGAGGACTCAAGTGAATTTAATATATTATTATCATAGAAATATATAAACGACATACACAGCTCGTTATTTTATTCATATAACCATGTTCAAAAAAAATGAAGCCATAATTTATAATATATTTTTAAAATGACGTCGATAGATCTATAATTTTAGATTTTTTAACATAATATTTTATTATAAACATTATTGTTAATGCGTGCCATGTCGCTCTATTCGGGATTCATCTGGAAATTATTTTTTAGTCCAGCTCAGATTTTTATTTCATTTTTTTTATCCCGGCTTCAAATTTTTAAAATTTTGTTTATTTGAATAGCAAATTATTTGCAAAGCAGAGTTTTAAAAAAGATTTTGTCCATTTTTTTGCCCTAAATTTTGAAGAAAAATATCTTTGAAAATCATAAAATTGTTTTTTATTGAACGATTTTTAAATTTTGATTAGAATTTGATCGAAAATAAAACTCTGTTTCAAAGGAAAATTGAAAATATTTGCAGTAAATGAATTTCAAATTAATTGCTCTATTATATGAATTTTAAAAATTTTCCATTGTCTTTAAAATATATTTGGAAACTATGGTATAAATGCATGTAATTTAGTGTTTTTAAATATTTCATAGCAATTAAAATATTGCATAAATATGTGATGTATTACTATAATGAGAATATATAAAAACATTAGAATAATTAATTTGCTAAAATAAAATATATTTTAGTGTTTTTGTCATTTTTACAATTAAGGTGTATTTTAAATTCATACCATATTTTTGGTCGGATCTGCAGATCTTTAGTAACTTAATGATATATATATATATAAATTGATGAGTGCCTAATCGACTAAATTTAGTCGATTAACAGACGACTAACTAATAGTTTTAGTCGAAAATTCGACTAAAAACTTTAGCAACTAAATTAGTCTATTAGTCGACTAAAACGACTAATATAGTTGACTAAAGCGACTAATTTAGTCGACTAAAACGACTAATATAGTCCACTAAAACGACTAATATAGTCCACTAAAACGACTAATATAGTCCACTAAAACGACTAATATAGTCCATAAAACGACTAATTTAGTCGACTAAAAGAACTAATTAAGTCGACTAAAAGAACTAATTAAGTCGACTAAATTAAGTCATAATCGTTATTTTTGAACCTTTTAAATTTTTTAGGTAAAAATATATGTTGTAAAGATGTAAAAATAAAATTTCAGTGAAGATGTACCATCATAGAAAAATATTAATTATCAAAATCGTTATTTTTGAAAAGTAAATAGGTAAAAATATATATATTGTAAATGTGTTTTCAGTGAACATGTACCATAGAAGAGTGATAATTGCCATAATCGTTATTTTTTAACTTTTTTAAATTTTTTTTAAAGTAAATAGGTAAAAATCTATATTGTAAAGATGTTAAAATAAAATTTAAGTGAAGATGTACGATATAAAAGTGATAATTGTCATAATCGTTATTTGTGAACTTTTTTGAATTTTTTTAAAACAAATAGGTAAAAATATATATTGTAAAGATGTTAAAATAAAATTTCAGTGAAGATGTACCATAGAAGAGTGACAATTGTCATAATCGTTATTTTTTAACTTTTTTAAAATTTTTTTAAAGTAATTAGGTAAAAATATATATTGTAAAGATGTTAAAATAAAATTTCAGTGAAGATGTACCATAGAAAAGTGACAATTGTCATAATCGTTATTTTTTAACTTTTTTAAATTTTTTTAAAGTAAATAGGTAAAAATATATATTTTGTAAAGATGTTAAAATGAAATTTCAGTGAAGATGTACCATTCTCCGAATACTACGGTGGCCCCTTGGCCGATTACATAATCCATCAAAGAGGAAAAAACAAAAAGGATGATTCAGAATTAAAATCTAAAATTATACAGCTACTAGAACATAATAATGGATTGACGATAAAAAATATAGTGGAAAATTTACCACGTCATCTCAAAATGAGTGATTCGGGAATATCAAGATGCCTTAAATCAATAGGATGGAGCAGGAAAAGGGTTGGAAAAGAACTCGATAGACGGAATTCCCCAGATGTTATAAATATTCGTAAAGAATATTGCCTAAATATGATGAACGTGCTATTTCAAAATATATTCTATTTAGATGAAACAGGCTTCAATTCCCACGTCATTTCCCACTATGGAAGGGCACCTCTGGGTAAGAGGCCATCTGTCAAACTCCCTCCTTCAAAGAAGAAAAACGTATCGGTTTTATGCACCATAGGAATTAATGGTTTCAAAAAATACATGATTATAGACGGGGCATTTACATCAATAAAATTCAAAACTTACCTGGATGAATTATCATACATTTTACCGTTGAATTTGCTAATAATAATGGATAATGCGCCCATTTACCGAGCTCATATAATAACAGAAAACTATCAAAATATAGTATATCTCCCACCCTATTCCCCTCAATTAAATCCCATTGAGAATTTTTTAGGCGTTTTGAAAAATCAGTATCGTTCTATATATCCAAACCCAATAACAGAATTCATATAATTGAGGCAATTACTTGCCTATTACTTAATTTCACTAATTTCAATTTCACAGCCTTCTATTCACATACGATACGATATATCGAAGAGGGAATCCGATCTATTCCTTTGAACAATTAATTTAATAAATTATTACACTAGATTATTATATAATATAGATATATTTTTTCGTTATATTATGTGCAATACAAATAGAAAAATAATATTTTTTGATCTTTTATTATGTAAATAAAATATATATTAAATAATGATTTCACAAGTCATTTTCGAAACTTTAATATTAGAAAGGTAAATTTGATAGAAAATAAAATAAACAATGAAGAAATAAGTTAAAAATGATCATATGAAAAAAGTGTTTATAAAAAGTTTCGGGATAATATTATATTTTATTTATTTTGTTATTTTTTTTATAATTTTTATTTTTTTTATAATTTTTATTTTTTAATATTAATTTAATTGATTATATTTTTAATAAAAAATTTTCTCCAAGATAAAAAAAAATAAATAACTTAAAATATTTTTATTCTTATAATTATCATTTAGCTGGCACCAAAGGGGAGGGGAATAATTTTATTTTTATGTATATAAAATTCATTGTTTTTTAAATAATATTTTTTTTACCAATGCGGGGGGGGGGGGTGGAGGGGGTATTTTTATTTTAATTAAGATATTAATTTTTAGAATATACTGATGGAATAAAAAGACTAATTTTAAGAATAGTATTGTAATTGTAAAATTTTAAATCAGAGACCTGTAGAGGTACCATTTGCAAGGTCCTGCCGGGAATTTTTTTAAAAAAATTGGATTTGGACTAGGTGGGGCCGAATATTTTTTAATAAAATTAGGGTTTGGTCGGGTGGGCCTTAGAAATTTTTTTATATAAATTTATCAATTTTATGATTAATTTATATTTTATTTCTAGAAACTAGATACCATATAAAAAATATCGTTTAATTATAGAAATTATATAAATCAATTCTGTATTTAAATTAATTCGAGCCGGGCCGGTAAATTTTTTTAAAAAAATTTCGTTCCGTCCAGGGTAAACTTTTTTAAAAATATTTCGGGCCGGGCCGGGCCTGAAAATTAGGCCCGATCAGATCACTAATTCAAAGCTATTATTTGAATATTTTGTTATACAATATTATAACCTTCTGCAAAATCTATACAATATATATTTTTACTTATTTACTTTAAAAAAATTCAAAAAAGTTAAAAAATAACGATTATGACAATTGTCACTTTTCTATGGTAAATCTTCACTTGAAATTTTATTTTTACATCTTTATACAATATATATTTTTACCTATTTGCTTTGAAAAAATTTAAAAAAGTTCAAAAATAACGATTATGACAATTGTAACTTTTCTATGGTACATCTTCACTGAAATTTTATTTTAACATCTTTACAATATATATTTTTACCTATTTACTTTAAAAAAATTCAAAAAAGTTAAAAAATAACGATTATGACAATTATCACTCTTCTATGGTACATCTTCACTGAAATTTTATTTTAACACATTTACAATATATTTATTTTTACCTATTTGATTTGAAAAAATTCAAAAAAGTTCAAAAATAACGATTATGACAATTGTCACTTTTCTATGGTAAATCTTCACATAAATTTTAACTTAATATGTTTACAATATATATTTTTACCTATATGCTGACTAAATAAATCAACTTAGTCGACTAAATTAGTTGTTTTAGTCGACTATATTAGTCTTTTTAGTCGACTATTAAATTAGTCGTTTAGTCGACTATATTAGTCTTTTTAGTCGAATATATTAGTCGTTTTAGTCGACTATATTAGTCGTTTTAGTCGACTATATTAGTCGTTTTACTCGACTCTATTAGTCGTTTTAGTCGATTTCCACGAAAGAACTCGACTAATTAACAACACTACCTATAACCATTTTTAAAAGTGCAAAATATTTAAAATTTGGCTTCACTTTTTTTGTGGTTTTTTATTTGATAATAAAGAAAATAATTTATATTCTTTTAATAAAATATATTAAAGTTTTATTTTTCTATGTGCTAAATTCTATATAATTTCTTAAAATTTTTTAAAATCCTGTAGAGCTAACGTATCTCAGGTAAAATATAATAAACTAGAAATGAAGACAACGAGATTGGAGCGAGAGTTGATTCAAAAAGTAAAAAAAAATGCTATTAAATTTAATTATATATATTTGGATATTTATTAGGGCCACTATTGATCCTTAAATTTTTCACCTATCTCATCCGATATTTTCCAATTATTCATCCAAAACCGATCTGATATTTAAATTTCTTTTTATTTACCACCCATCTTTGAACCAATTTCATTAAAAATAAAATCATTCTTACGCAAAAAAATAACTAACTATATACTATAGGCAAAACAAATTTAAATTTTCCGTTTCTCATGGCCAAGGCAATATTTTATGCATTATCACGAATTATTACGTGTATATATTTTTGTAAATTTCGCAAAAGTTAATTATCTCATTTAAAATTTGGGCAATGTTTATGTGCTACATTTGAATCATTAAATATTTTTTTGCTGTTACTAATAATATAGCAAAAAAAATAATATCACATTACTCTTTCTCTTAACCAATTTTTTAAAATAACCAATAAAAATATCAGATTGGTTTTTTGGGAAATATCGACCGGATTCCATTATTTTATGAAACAATATATATTGGGATCTAAAATATTGTCATAGCCCTATTTATTGTATACATCGAGATTTATATTGTAAATTTTTTATACATATCTAAATGATAGTGCAGGGGCTCTCGCGGGATTTTTTCTTAGGGAGGGCAAAAAATATTTTGATAAAATATGGTAAAATTTAAAAGAATTACACAATTTATTAGGTTTTTATTACCAAAAATAATTATACATATTATAAGGTCAATCGATAGAAATATAATCATTTATATATAAAACAAACTTTGTATAAAACTTCCAAATTATGCATTATTGTTATCCTAAAAATAAATTCTAATTATTTAAACGAAAATTAAAATCCAATTGCAATCAAGGCACTTCTGCGCCTCACTAGGTCAATGACGATATTACCCATAAATGAATAATATTTTATGCCTAAGATAAATATGTTATAAAATCAAATAAACTCAAAACTTTAGCAAAATCCCATGAGTTAATAAAATATATTATATTATTTAGATATTCTTTTGACATCAAAAAATGCAGAGGTTAATATTATGGTGGGGCGTCTAATGTTATTGTAAAGATTTTTAGTTTACAGAGACATCAAAAAATGCAGAGGTTATGTTAAAATGGAGCCTCTAACGTTATTGTAAAGATTTCTAGTTTACAGACGCATCTTCGTATTGAAGAATCTAGAAAAATCTGTACATAGTGTAGGTCATATATTAAAACTTGTGGTACAAGATCATTTAATACTAATGCAAAATTTGGCGATTTTATAGTATTAATGAAAGATTTATTATCTTTTGCTCGAGTTCTCCTAAACATATGGAGATATTTCATTTCATCCAAGATGAAAATGATAGTTCTTTAAGGCAATTATGCCCTACATGCTGGCGACTAATAATATCGCGAAAATGAATTGAAAGTAATTTTGAAATAATCATAAAACTTTTATTAGAAATTATAAACACATAGAACAGTGTAAAAAATTTATTAAACCAAATGAAGCTTTTCGAAAATTCTTTATTTCTTAAAATGATAACAATATTTGAGAGAGTAGAAGTTTAACGCTGGAATTCAAAGTTCTTCATTACATTTACAAAATATAAAATAGAAACCTGATCACAATTTAGATGCAATACGACAAGATGATAGTTTAGATAAGTTCTGGAGAAATTTTAATTTAATGGCAAAGAATTAAATTTAGAGGAAGGCTTGAATTTATCATACCATCATTTCATGTCATGTACTGAATATTATAGACAAAAATATTGTATCACCAAACAATAGATTATTTAATCAATATGGAGAAATTTGCGATTCAAAAATTTTATGGAAATCGTGTTTTAGTATTCTATGGATAGATTTTGAAATGGTTCGTCTAATTCTTCATAGAAATATGTTTTTGGATGTACTCAAAGTTGGGAAATATACACTAAACTCTTTATAAAATGTCAGCTATATTAAAAGAACAAAGAAAGAAGTTATTTCTATATTTATCACATAATGTAAAATTTATTAAAATGCTATTAACAATTCTTGTTAAGTTAAATTAATATTAAAATTTTGGTAAACTTAACGCGAAATTTATTTATTCATGAAAAAAAAATCTATTGTATCATAAATAATGCATATATTATTAAATAAACACTAGTTGTATGATAATAGACAACTCAAATATTTGTTTATGTAAAATTATAGGGTTGGCAAGTTAGTCAATTGGCCGGTCAGATACAGTCAATTGACCAGAGTAGTATGATCTAGTCAAATACTCTAAAATATCTGAAGAAGAAAATATGAAAAAAAAGAAAAACGATATAAATATATATGATCTATTTATTGGGTCCCCAATATCAGGTGGAGCATCTTACAAATAGTGAATTTAATGAAATATGTGATATAATATAAGAAATAGGCGTTTTACAAGGTGGAGGTGATAAAATATTTCAAGTGATATCATAAATTTCAGAATTAAAATCGGCATGTTTTATAGAAAATTATGTGGAAGCCAGTAACTTCATAGGAAACAATCAGATTCCGGTCTCAAGTTAATGGAATGGGCTTTGCTGACCATGTCCATTAATAGAAGTGCCATTTTACTAACAATTTCTATTTCTTCAGATTGGTCGATTTGGGTTAATATTCTTATTAAACAGGAATCGATTGAAGATTGAACACTGATTAAAAAAAATTAAAGAAAATGATAATATTGAATATGAATCAGAACAAAACTTTGCCACGGAGAGCGAAACATTAGTTATTAAATGACAATGAATTTAAAAAATATTATAAAGTTAATATTGTCTTAAAAAACATATATTTCATTTTGACCGCTGAAAATTATAGCTTTAAAAAATTGGATTTCTTATATTTAAAAAAACAGGTTTTAAATACAACCTTGCATGTCTTAATTCTTGATAAAGTCAGGAGATTATAGATACAATGTATATATTATCTATTTAAATTTAAATAAAGAATGAAGAAAATGCTCAACTCCATGTGATGTGTGACGAATTAATTGCCAAAATGGAACAAAATTGAATTTATATTTATATGTATTATTAAAGATATCTTACTTTTGATCGAGAATCCTACAGTTGTATATTTTTTATAAATACTTTTGATTGATCATTAGAATGTATTAATATTAGAAATTTATTATACAAATAAAAATTTCTCTAATATTGATTATGTTGATTAAAATCTAAAAGTAATAAACAAGCGTATTTCTGATAAATAAGGTATAAAGTGGGTGTTGACCACAATATAATTTAAAAGTAACATTTATATTTATTGCAAAATATAAATAACTATTGATGAAAAATAAATAACTTGAACGATTTAAAAAGCATTAATACCACTTTGTTATTCTTGATATGATTTGATTATTGTTTGAGCTATATTTTTATTATTAAAAATAGTTGTTAGCATTTAATAATAGAAAATAAAATTAAAATTTATAATTTTTTTTACAATAAGAGGTGGATATATCAAAGGTTTTATCCCTATTATAGGATAATATTTTATAATGAATAATAAACCTTTCATAACACAACCATAGCCTGCACACTACTAGGACTAAAATAGTTTTTAAATGATCTTACATAACTCAAAATCTCCAGTTTTGTTATAGTAGCGCGTTTTTCAGTAGTTTTAGTTTTAGCGCGCTTCATATTTTAACAAATAGCGATAGCGGTATCTCACTACTAATTTAGTACTTTCAATTTTATTTAATAAATTCACATAAAAATTATTATATTTATAATTTTATAATTAATTGTAAAATCTTAATCTTTTAATTTAATTTTGAATTTATATTAAAAAATAATATGTATTATAAATCTAGTTTTCAAAATAATTAAAAGTTTAAAATGACAATAGAGATTGTTATTGAAGATAATTTTGATACAAATCGCCCACAAAGTAATTTCCCTGGGAAATGATGATAATATGGAATTTACTTTCCTAAATTCGCAAAATATTTTAATCTGAATAAAAAAATTAACACTATATAAATTTCGTTGTAAGATGTGCCAAAAGGTTTTATCATCAAACAAAACTAGTAGCTTCAACCATATGGTAATATATCAAACAAATTTAATATCAATGTGTAGCCAATCCTTAATCTTTAAAATAAAATTAGCTATATCTATAGTAGTTTTTGAGCTAAATGAGTTTATGTGAGTTTATTTTCTGGCCTAGTTCAAACATGGTATGTTTCAACTGGCCATAACAACATTTTATCATCAGACTCATCTATTTAATGATAATATTTTATAATTATTATCTGAATATTAAACAGCTGCTATTGTTCTTCCTAGGTTTAAGTTGAATTGGCTATATATTAATTTAACTCAATCCAAAGGACAACTTGACAGGCTAATGGTAACGTTAAATAATACTATACCAAACCAGGTTACCCTAGCCAGATCAAAAACGCCACCTACTATAGGTGATTTTTTTTAAACAAATACTAAAATCCTCTAGACGCATTTTTTAAATGTAAAAATACTCAAATGAATATTTTTGATAATTTTTCTTATATAAAAAATATGCATATTAAATTTAATACTACATTGCCCTCAAGTGCTAGTGTTGAAGTTAAACGATTATTTGATTATTAGTACAGCAAAGCTTATACTTTTTGATTGTCGCTCTAGACTTGGAGATGAGAGTATAGAAATGTTATTATTAATGAAATGCAATAAAAATAAATAATTTATATATTTGGAATTGTAGTCATATTTTTTATTTGTTGAAATATAAATACGTTAAAATATTTTTAAAAAAAATTGAAAATATCGTAAAAGATAGCTTTAGATACTTTTTTCTAACATAGCGCGCTACATTTTTGTAGCGATAGTTTACTACTTTTTTTAGCGACCGACGAAAAATAGCGGTAGCAATTGCGCGCTATTACCGGAAATGTATTACCATGTTTGGAATACCTATAATTTCAGACAATTTTGCTATAAACATTTGTTAATATAATTTATATTAATATTTACATATTTTTATATAAATTATCTACAATTCATAAGATAGGTATTCTAAACATGCTGGAATATATTTTCGGTAAAATCGTATTTTTAAATTTATAAAGACGCGCTTAAAAATTGATTTAAATTGAAAAAATAACACATTGCCGATAACATATATATAACTATTTTATTTGTGATAGTTAAATTTATTTAGATTACCAACAATTATATTTTGTCTAGATTTTGGAATGCTCTAATATTTTTCTTTGACAGTTAAATTTATAATATCAAAAAAAATTAAATTGCAGAAATATGTAAAAGCACTCTAAATCAAACTATATTTTATTTCATTGAAATTAACCGATAAACTCCAATATATCTTTTTTTTCTTCCAAGTTTTCCATCAAAGCCTCCATCAATTGAAAGTATACAAATAAGGTATCCTTAGGCCATACCGTTTTTTGCGGAACTCTTGATAATACGTCTAGATTTTTGCGTACGTAACCATCCCATTCTATATTTTATAAAATCGATTTTTTACAAATATCGAAATTTAAATCTGACGCACTTTTTCCTTCTTGCAAAGTTTTTGACACTGCGGCATTACTTGATACTTTATGCAATTCATTAGTTTGATCTAGACTTATTTAAATTTATAAATATTCAAAAAATTTCAGTTTAACTAAATTTTTTTTTTACCCATCTAGAGGTTTACTGGTGGCTTCTATAACTGTATTTTCTGATATCCCCTTTTTGTTGTCAAGATTATCCTTGAATTCGGGACTTGATTAAATGTATTTCATTAAAATATTAAATTATAATATGCCAATTTATAAATCAATGGCATCACTGGAGATAGGAAAATGCGTAAGGGAAACGGGACATAGTCGGGATGTAAATGTAAAAATGGTGAATATCTCAATAGATAAGTGACTTGCCTCTCTAATATATAATTTATTTTTTATAGTTAATTCTATTTTTTTAAATATTATTTCAATTTGTCAAGCTAAAAAACAGTGTATAATATAGGGCTAGTTACTATTATATTGGTAGTGAATTATACCTTTTGATTGGTTTAACAATATTTTCCCTATATTGTATTTTATTGATTTTAATTATTATCCATACAACTTGATCATATTATATGAAAACCAGGACTTCAAACCGAACCGCGAAATCTGAACTAACCGTTATAATTTTGTGAACCTTAACCAAACCGTTATAAAGAAAATATAGACCACCAAAAGACGGTTCACTTTTGAATGAAATTAAAATTAATTTTGCAAGTAAGCTACTAAACGTTCTAGACAAAGGTATCGAAAGCATTTAAGTAACGTTTTTACCTTGATAAAAATATTAAATATAATATTTATTTTTTATGAATATGAAATTTAAAATATACAATAAAATAGTTTGTTATTAATATTAACTATTTATCATTCATTATTTTATTCCAAAAGTTGTGAGCCATTTCTTTCCTTCATTCAATATGTAATGGTTTGAAAAACTATTATTTATAATATCTACAAAAATATAAAAAAAAAATAATTTAATTTTAAGGGTAACATAATTGGTTCCTAAAAAGGAACAATAGTTAAATTTGTATATTCTGTCTGAGGAATAGGAATTATCTTGGTTTAGATGTCTGCCATTTGATTTTGTGAGCTAAAAACTAAAAGTTAATGGAGCGAACTGTCCGTTGGTAGATTTAGCTATTGGTGATAATATGCTTTGCTTTTGTATTTTTTTATTCTTTGCCTAAGTAAACAGATTGCTATTAATTTTAGTCTAGTTCTTTCCATCTTTCATTTCACTATATATAGATGACTTTTTTATCTTTTTATTTAACATTATATTTTATAAAAATATGTTATGAAGAAAAGAAATAAAAGTATTTTAAACTTTTGTATTTTATTAACTTTTTTTAATTATACCATATAAGTAGAAAATGTTATGAAAACCCAGCCTGGTGCAAATTTTTTATCTAATTGCCTGTCCCAAATTTTTTTTGTACGACTTCTCCGTCCGTTATAATTTTTTCCCGGCCCATTTAATTTATTTTAAAATTTTCTCTGCCCGCTTACCGGACTTTGCAGATCTCGAATCCTAAATAAATAATTGATATAAATATATTTTCTTAGATACAAAAATATTGCTAATACAAATGCTAGACTTATATAATAAATGTAGATAAGTGATCTAGATTATCTAACCCTTTTAAAAGTAATAATTTCATCGATATATTTTCCGGTAAATAAGACATAAATAAATATTTTTAACATTATCCATAAAGTTGGTATGAAAGCCAAGAAAATATTAGTATGTCAGCCCTAATGTTGGGCCTAAAGGAGTACGTAAGACGGCCACACCCAGGATCATATAAAAAGTTATATTTTAATATTAAGGTATTATTTCAATAAAGACTAAGAGAAACACTTATATTTTATTAATATAAATGGTTCTATGTTCCTTGGTTTGACTTGCCCCATCTCACGACAAAAGAAGATATTTTATAAAATCTTGTTATAAGATTTGCAAATTTGATGTAATACAGTTTGAGCTTTAATTCTATATAGCATTTATTGTACTTAAGATAACTATTAAAAATTTTATGAAATGCTAAAATCTATTTATTTACTTTAATAGGACAAAAAAAATATTTTTAGTACAAAATTATGAGTTACTTAAGAAAAAATTTTTGTAGAAAGGTGTATATTAACTTGCCGTCATTCATAGGATTAAATTTTAAACTTAATTGATTTTATAATAAATAGAAATTGAGCTTACGTGCCTCTTGACCTGATCCGATTGATGTGCTCCCAACCCTCTAAACACTACTAAAATATTTTCGATTAGAGAAATTTTTTAAAAATTATCCTCAAAACAAGTCTAAATTATTAGATCGGCTACGCAATTTAAACAAGCCTAAAAATAATTTTACTTGAGTTCATCAGTCAAATCTTGTTTCATTAATTCAATATTAAAAGATTCTTTCCTTAATTCTGCTTTTCTATTCTTTTCAACCTCTTCCATTTCTTTCTGCAATTCGGTTCTTATGGATTGGAAGTTGTTAACTATAAAATCATTATCTATAAATTGGTTAAGTATTTAAAAACCCATTATTCCTATGTATAAATTTCTAAAGATAAAAGCGCCAATTATAATCCACAAAATGAAATAGGTGCAGGCCAACACGGGATCCTTTATGATTAATACATCTTCTAAAAGATCATGCCATCCATCTAACGTAAATATTCTGAATAAAGTAGCCCCTGTATATATGATTCCGCTAGTAATGGGATTGTTTTTTTGTATAGTTTTAAAGAAAAATATTTATAAGATATACCTAAAACTGTATTGATATTTTAATCCGTTGAGAGAAGATATCGTATAATCTTCAAAATATGATAAGCCAATTATTGAAAATATAAATGCGAATATGAAAAATAATACGGACAAAAAAATTCCTGCCTAAAAAAAGTTAGTTATAAAATTTATTGCAAAATCAAGAAAATGATTTTAGTTAACCTTGAAGGATCTACTTAGGGCCAAGGTTACCAAACGTAACGCTTGCACACGAGGTATCAATTTCAATATTCGAAGTATTCTAAATGCTCTCAGTGTGTGCGCCACATTTATTAGCCTAGGGTTTTCGTCTACTAAACTTGATATTGGTACTATTATAAAGATAAATTCCGATATTATAGCCTGTTATCCAATTAAATGTTTTATTACATTTGAGTTCAAATTTTTAAAATTTACGCACTATGAAAGTTATAAATAAATCAAATAAATCCCAAGAAGTTTGCCAAAATTCTTTAAAACTGTCAATCATTTTGATCATAAAGTCGGTTAAATAAATAGGTAAACATAAGTAATTTATTATATCAAGTGATATGATTAATATATAAAATGTTTGATCCTTCCATGCGTATTTTTCCAAAGGCGTACTCATGCCTATTTTTTAAATTCGATTATTATTTCAATAATTAACATAATACTAACCGGTTTCAATCCCAATTGTGATAGAGTTTATTATGATAATCCATATAATAAATTTGTTCCACCAATCACCTAAATATAAAAAATAATTCTAGTTTAAATTCATGTAATATAATTACTATTGATATTTGGCAAAACAAACAGGCTTTTGATTATGTTTACTGAATGAATTATAATAATTTCACTGTTCCGAGTTTGAAAATATTTTTAAAACCGATCCGATAATTTAATTAAAAAGTGTTTCTTAATATTATTTTAATTTTAAGCTTTGAGATTTTATTTTAAGAATCAGAATAATTCTCTTAACTTGTCTTATAAAAAAAAGAAGTATTCTAAGGATAGTTTTTCTAATTTATTTAAAATGTTATCTAATTTAATTCTGGTCGGTAAAGATATTTATATTAGAAGAAAGTAACTATTTTTTTCTTCATATAATATTAGTCTCAATCTTACTGCAAAAAATGTACAATCAAAATATAGGGAAAAAAATATTTGCCAATATTTATTACAAATTTTGTAAATATAAATTTTGGTTTAGAAATTTAGTTAACATGATTTTGGACCTGTTCCTTGTTCTCCTTTTTTCCTGTTTTTTAACATCCCTTCTCTTACTCATTCCTAATATTTTATAAAAAGGGGTGTGTCAAAAATAAAATATAGTTTATTACACTATTATTTTTAAAAATAATATTGACCGATCCGATTCCTATCTATCGAACAACTTAATAATTAATAGTGAAGGCCGATTCGGCATTGAATCGATATCAAAAGATCAGAATCGACTGCAGAATATTTTCAAAAGATGAAATGAATATAAGAAACTAGGGATCTGCAAGCTCGGGCCAAAGGATTCAAAATAACGAAATTTAAAAAATTCCGAACCAGGTTTTATAATATATAAAAATAAATTTTTATCTATCCCATATCTGACTACCCATTTCTAATTTTGTCCTAAAGGTTGGTTTTAGGGGAAATAATGTCAAATTGATAACTTTTTAAATAGAGGACTTTTGCAACATTAAAGGCTTGAAGATAAAAAAATCTTCGCCCCCCCCCCTCCTTCCCACCATTAAAATAAAATAAATATCTATTCTTGCAAATATTTGAAATATTAATAGGTTTCATTTTAAATTAAATAATTAATTTTATTCTCACTTCTATATATAATTACGGGGATGACTCGATAAATTAACTAAAAAAAAACAATGAATACGCAAAATTAACTTCTCATTAATAACAATGAATGCGCAAAATTAACTTCTCCCCCAAAATAGATATATAACATAACACTCACTATTTCGTATCCAGGATATCCAAAATTCGAAAGGAATTTTATTTCCGTGCTCAACCATTACAGTAAATAAACCATGTTCTTTCACGCTAACATATTTTTTGTTTTTAATTTCTAGGTTTGGTAGAGATACCAATTCCTTTTCATTTACTTGCTTTAAAGCTTAAAACATGATTTTATTTAAATTGAAAAATTCTGTAGATCAATATGCTAACTTCCGATGTCCGCAAAATTGACAATTTTTTTTGCTTCCTTTTTCTTTATTTTATCTATTAGGGAATAGGTATCAATTAGTTTTGATCTAAATATTTTGGCATTATCACATAAATCAAAGTTGCCTTCGAATTTCTCTTCGTTTTCCATTATTACAAGTTCGAGTTTTATAAGAATTATATTAGAAGGATAGCAATAAGATAGTTTATTTTCTATAATTTAATTTTAAAATCGGCGAGATTAAATAATGAAATTTAGTTAATAAGAATTATTATGTTTATATGTGCAAAATATTATTTATAGGTAAAATTTATTTTATGCTTGGTTACATTTTTTTAAAGTTTAAGATCTATCAAAAAATAATTTCAAAATCGGTATTTTATCTAAAAAGCTCAAATTTCGTTTGAGGTCTTGAATCATTACTTCAAAAAAAGCTAATTTTTTATTAAATTCTTGTAGAATCATCCCAAAATCATTTCTTTGAATTTCCTGGTCATCAAGCATTCTATTTAATTCAAAGCATAAATCATTTATGGATCCAAGTAATTTTAATTTCTGGTTGTCGGAATAGTGGTTTATTTTCTTATTGTCAACTACAGTTTGCATTTTATATTATACATTTTTAAATGATTCATAACATTTTATACATATTTAATTAATAAAAAATATAATTGATTCTAAATAGTTTTCTTTCTTATTCTTTTTTAAAATACGATTGGAAATAAATTAATGTGAAATATTAAAATGATATTTAATTATATAATCGCCGTTTTTTAGAATAAGTTGCCATACAATTTTTTGAACAAAAATACATCCATATATTTTAAAGGTGGGGTCAGGGGGGGGGGGGTATAATTATTTAAAGTGTTATCTATTACATTTTTGGATGATTTATGGATTATATATTCATATAATAGAATACTAAATATCAATAGTATATACATTGTTATTATTCTTAGAATAAAATTTATTTTGGGATAATTTACTATTATTTTTATGTAATTTAGAAGGGTTAAAAATTCTATTAGAACTCATATACATGCCAAACAATATGCTATAATAATGCATACATCGTAAATGAGAGGATTTTTAATTAAATTAATGTTCTAAAAAATATCTTTTACAGACATTTTTTTGTTATTCTTTTTAAAATATATTGAGGGGTACCATCATAATTAAGATAAGACTCGTAATTAATAATAATATTGCCGCCAAATCGGCGAATTGATTTTTTTGGAGGGGGGGGGGTAAGTATTGGTTTTTGAGTGGGGTTTGCTTCAAATGAATATCCTTTCATGTAGACGCTACATGTATTTATGATTTTTTTACATGAAATAGCTGTAAACTTAGAATTCTTTTAAGGAAACTATCTACAAATGTATTTTATATATTTAATCTTATTTTTTAACCTCAGATAACTGTAGACATTTTAATTATTTTAAGGAAACTCTACAAATGTATTTTATGTATTCCATCTTCCTTTTTTTTTATATCAGATAGCCATAAACAACAGGAACAATATGTCTAAAATAAAAGTCGTTCACCATGTTTTTTCTTAAAAACAATCACTCGCGAAGCTGTTTAATTTGAACGCTCAATATTATGTAATAACGTAATATTTTCAATTTTTGAAATTAAAATATACTTTTATATGCACAAGAACCAAATTTGGTGGTTCTCAAGACAATCTTGTCACAATCCGAGGAGACAAACTCTCCCGCTCCCACGTTTATCTGTGCCTTATATAAAAATATTTTCTTTTATTTTCTTGTCTCCTTTTGATGGTAAATTAAAAATTTATGCCATAAAGGTATGATTAAATTATTAGATAACAATTAATTCCTTTATTTAAAAACTTTATTGGCATATTCATTTGATTCCTCACCATAACCAATTTTGGTAGAATTTGCCTCCATGGGCAAGGTTGCCATGCCTCCCCCCATCAGTGGGAGTCTCCCACAATTTTTTAGTTTACCCACATACATCTCACTCCCACAAAACTCCCACAATTAGAAATCTCCCACAAAAATCTCCGACAATTTTTTAATTTCTCCCACAATTTTTTTTTTAGCATTTTAATGTTTTTAATATATAAATAATAATTTTGAGAGACAGTATTTGATTATTTTTATATTTTTAAAATAAATTTTAAATATTTATTCGAAAAATAGGTCTAGTTCTTTTATTTTATTTTTCCGCTAATTTTAAATTCTCAATCCAATCCATTCGACATTTTCAAAATTTGAAGTTAGAATAGTATGGGAAACTAGTGCTTTATTTATATTTTTATTTATATATACCATGATAGTTATCTTCTAGGTGAGATAAAGCACTAGTTTCCAATACTGATGTTGTTTTTTGTGGACAATAAAATGTTATAATTAAATATATAAAAAGAAAAATTATTTTCAATATAAATTGCTTATGTACTATTATATATTAAAAAATATATTATTAATATTAGAAGTAATATTTTTAAAAATTAGCAATGAAAGTGGAACTCATCTTAGAAAATATTATTATCCTAATCATCTTTAATCTAAGCTTAAAAAATCCTAAATATTATACATATTTTATATTTTTATTTATATATACCATGATAGTTATCTTCTAGGTGAGATTTAGATTGTTTTGAGGTTAAAGCATTAGTTTCCAATACTGATGTTGTTTTTTGGACAATAAAATGTTATAATTAAATATATAAAAGAAAAATTATTTTCAATATAAACTGCTTATGTACTATTATATATTAAAAATATATTATTAATATTAGAAGTAATATTTTTAAAAATTAGCAATGAAAGTGGAACTCATCTTAGAAAATATTATTATCTTAATCATCTTTAATCTAAGCTTAAGATATCCTAAGAGGCCGAGTTAATGGTTAAACAAAATTATAAAATTGTCATGCCAGGATTTTTATAAATATCTTAATAACGACGGTAAACGTTTAGTTCCATTATTTAAATCTCATATAAAATATAATTAACTATAACTATTTGACTTTCTATATTTTATAAAATCTTATTTATACATTTGCATAAAATCAAATAAATTTATTTTTTACATTGTAAAATTAATATTTTGAATATTTTGGCAAATCATAAAAATACAGAAGCATTACAATCTCCTCAAACATGACATCATATTAAATCTTATTAATAATTATCCGATAATAGTAATATTCTTACTTTGGTATTTCTGCAGCATAATTTAGTGAGCCTTTATTAAATTATATTCTTCTGATTGCAACTGCATATTAACAGCATATAGTAGATTTCCTATATGTAAAATTCCTAAATATACTTCTGCCATTTATTTTTGAAAATTATTTTCAAATAGGACAGCTTTTATAATCTATTTATTTTTTAAAGGTTTGTATTTTAAAATTCTACGATGGCGCGTATTAAGAGGAACCAGGGTTGCCAGGTCAAAATTTTCACAAATTGTGCGAGAAATTAGGTATTTTGTGGGAGAAATATAAAAATTGTGGGAGAGGCCTGCAAAGGACCGGGATTTAGAATTGACTTAGTTATCCACTTATTATTTTTTATAAATATAAAATCTAATCTATTTTCCAAAATAAAATAGGTAATTATTTTTCAAAATAAAATAGCTAACTTTTTTTAAAATAAAATAGCTAACTTTTTTTCAAAATAAAATACTATTTTTCAAAATAAAATAGCCAACTATTTTTCAAAATAAAATAGCCAACTATTTTTCAAAATAAAATATCCAACTCTTTTTCAAAATAAAATAGCCTAACTATTTTTCAAAATAAAATATCCAACTCTTTTTCAAAATAAAATAGTTAACTATTTTCCAAAATAAAATACCCAACTATTTTTCAAAATAGGTAATTACTGTACGACACAAAATTTCTTAGAGTACTATCTTTATTATTAAAAAAACATATTGATTTATTATAATATATTAATTTTGTTTAAAAATAATAACCAACGATCTTTTTTAAATACAAAAGAATGTAATGTAAACAAGATAAAATTTTATAAAAAATTGTAATTTTACAATGTAAAAAAATAAATGGGGGAAAGGATATTTGATATTTTGAGGTATCAAAAATCTTCAAAGCATAAATCAGTACAGGGCATTCTATCAACATCTATTTCAAAACAAAAATATTCTTCAAAAGAAATAATATAGATGCAACTACAGTTGCGGAAATGGTAAATACCTATCATGCAGTACAACATTCAGAGAGTTACTCAACATCTCAATGTTGGTAGAATCTTTCCCCATAATATTTAACGACTAATATAAATGAATAGAATACTTTGAACACAAAATGAGCAAGGCTATCAACAATGTTTTAGGATATAAATCCAGAAGGTCAATTCTTGACGATTTGAAAGATGTGCAAACATATGCAATTCTAACAGATGCATCTAATAAGGAGATATCAAAACATTTCCCTTGATCCTCCCCTATTTCAACAAAATTAATGTCATTTTAATAAAACTATTAAAAAAATTTTCTCCAGATATGAAATATCCAAAGACATAGCTAACCAACCATATATAATGGTAAATATGGCAGATTTGGCATTACCAATGAATTGCATGGTAGCTTTCTGATCTGATAATTCCTCAGTGAATTTGGCAAAAACCAGAGTGTATTTATAGAATTAAGTCAGCATAATGTTGGTTGACAGGTTCCTCCTAATACGCGCCATCGTAGAATTTTAAAATACAAACCTTTAAAAAATAGATTATAAAAGCTGTCCTATTTGAAATAATTTTCAAAAATAAATGGCAGAAGTATATTTAGGAATTTTACATATAGGAAATCTACTATATGCTGTTAATATGCAGTTGCAATCAGAAGAATATAATTTAATAAAGGCTCACTAAATTATGCTGCAGAAATACCAAAGTAAGAATATTACTATTATCGGATAATTATTAATAAGATTTAATATGATGTCATGTTTGAGGAGATTGTAATGCTTCTTTATTTTTATGATTTGCCAAAATATTCAAAATATTAATTTTACAATGTAAAAAATAAATTTATTTGATTTTATGCAAATGTATAAATAAGATTTTATAAAATTAAAATATAGAAAGTCAAATAGTTATAGTTAATTATATTTTATATGAGATTTAAATAATGGAACTAAACGTTTACCG